ACCTTAATGATTCTATGATTCTGTGAAGAGTTAGTTTTTATGTGAGAAACAATAAGCATCTCTAACGAAGAGAGGGCAAATGGGTTAGATTGTCTTGGTATAATAGAATAAATGGTATATAATTTCCAAAGTTATAGTGGGAAAAACATATGTTTCACAGTTACAGAAAGAGGACCAAATGAAAATGGAGAGTAAATCATTGGCTAATGGTTGTAAATCAGGGAGCTACCACTTCTTTGTTCTCTTCCCTGAGAGAAGGATTGTGTTAGTGGTGTCCTGGGTTACTCTGCTGTAGTCAAGTAACTTGGACGATGTCCCTCATACCTGCAGAATGAATACTGTAATGCTGCTCGTAGTTGTTGCTTTGTGTGATGCCGCATAAAACATTTCAGAAGTGTAGTTTTGTGAACCCCTGTCCATCTACCAGTGGAAGAATTCTTTCAGGTCTTAAAGGAGGATTTTTAAAATTATTCTTGGCTAGTATTATTTAAGCTCAGCTCTGAAAACTGTTTGTGTTGACACTGCATCAGCACACCAGATTTAGGTTTACAGGGTTTTTTTCCCTTCTTCTGTAAGAATCAAGAATGTTTAAAATAAGTGCTGGTTTCTCCAGGAGTCTCTAAAAATCCACGTCCTAGTTTATGTAGGAAATAAGAATGAGTTTGCAAATGCAGTAAAACTGTTGGAAGCATAGACATTGGATTTGGTAATCTGTCACCTGTCAGATTACTGAGGGAAGTGAAGCTTGCATTTTAAACTATTACCTACAGTAGACAGTAATTGTACAATTTAGAATTGTAGTATGAAATATGGTGGTATGAATTGCTGCCAAAGTTGCATACAGCCCCTTTTTGTATAACCAATATAGCTTTAAAATATCATTGTACTTTTATAAATATAAAGGAGCATCATGTGGGAAAAAATAATTGTGCTACCTATGTGCTCAGCGTTCACATTTTCATTTTGCGTTCACATCTACATACCCAAGACTCAAAAAATACTTGCTTCCGTGTGTTTGCCTTATTAGAGGACAGTTTCAGCGACAAGTTTTGAGATGCATCTCTCAAGTCTTTTGCCATATCTTCACTTATTATTTATTTAATTTATACCAAAACTCTAGTATTAATTTTCTCCTAATTTTCCCCCAGAAAAGTATAGGTAGCTACAGGGAAAGAATGCTCCCTCTATCAAAATGTGTGCTACACTCAAAGCTGTACGAATGCCTTAACTATTTTAGTTGTTAATAACAAACAACGGGGAATGAAGTGACACAGTAATATACTTCTCCACTGAAAGAAGTGCATCCATTCTGAGTAGCTATTGGGGAGGTATCTTTTGCAAAACTAAATAAAACACAAAAATACATGATTGTACTTGTTAATATATAAAAATCTTTAATACAAGAATCAAATTCAGTATTGCAGGTTTTATGTTCCTTGCTGGGCTTTTTATGACTTACTTTTACTCTGTAGTGTTCTTGTGGATGTGATTTTTCCAGTGAAATCTTTCTTCAGTCCACTCAAGACAAATGATACTTGAGCTCGAGATTAGATTTGTAAGTGGGTTTCTTTTTTGTTCTGTTGCAGGCAGGTTTGACTGGAAGGACAAGAGGGTATTATTGATATATTTGGTTATTCTTGCATCTTGTACTCTCATTGCTGTTCTTGTTTACTGGCAGAAAGAGAGAGACAGGGAGCTATATCGAGTATTGCTAAGAAACAAGGAATAAAGTTATGCAAGTCTGAGTGGCTGTTCCAAAAATTATTTTTGCATCTGTGGCATAAGGAAAAAATGTGTAAACCGTTACGTAAGAAGTCTGTGGTGTGCTCAAGATACTCTTCTTTACTACTAAATTATTTCAATATTATTATTTCATGTGTAAGGTTTCTTTCATGCTAAAAGGTTTCTTCGTCAAGATATATTAATAAGGAATGCCATGGATGACTTAGAGTTCATGGGCCAAAGTCTTAAAATCTTTGTGTTGTCAACCTCAGTTTGAACAGCTTCAGTGGCTGGGATGGTGGAGGCGGGCAGAGAATTAAATCCAAGGTCTCTTAGGTCAAACTTGATTGAAGATTTATTGAGGATGATCAGGAGAACTTGATGAACACAATATGTGAAGGTAAACAGGAGAGAGACAGCAAAAGAGATCCATCTCTAGATATTTCTAACTGCTGAAATTTCTTCGTAGGCTCAAAATCTGTCATAGCCTCCTTTTACTTGTATGCTTTGGAAATATTTGGGAAATTGCATGGAGGAAAAAAAGTAATTCTAGAAAGACTTCCTACTTGACACTTGAAGTAAAGAAATCACCCCTCAATTTCTGACAAAATTCAAAATTATCTCTGAAGATAATAGTTAAGATTGTATTTTAATGATGTATCCACACAGGCTCTACTAACCAAAAGCTTTTTAAAGGGGTAATTTTTGAGCCTTAATTACACAGTAGTGATAACGGCTTCCAGTCTTCCTTCTTTCCTGAAACAAATTCCTGCATAGAGAATGTTTTCATGATTTGTAAAATATGGATGATTTTGAAGAGTCTTATTCTAATGTGTGTTATCTGAAATTAAAATGTTGGTACATACTGTGCCGATTTGAAGGGATTCTTGGATTCTTTAGGAATGTTGCTTTTACGATTTTCCAGTAATAATTTTTTTTTTTTAAACGAAGTAAGGCTTGGTTTTTAAATTACAATTTTTGTTTCTTATTAAACATAGTATATTCTGAATCCTACAAAGAATAGGGCTTATTCTTCTTATTGTTATTGTTGCTATACAAAATCACATAGAGATACCACTGTTCTAAAGAGTGTTTTGTATAAAGACAATAGTTAATGGTTACTGAAGATAGGACTATATAATGCAGGTTCCTAAATGTAATGGAGGTTAGCATATTTTCAGTGAATAGTTTTTGTTGGGTTTTGGTTTTTTTATTTAATTTGGAGCAGAAATAGAGTGAGAAGGAATGGAAGGATTTGGGAAGATGAGGAGGATAAAGGAATAAAGTGGGGGAGAAGGGGGGAAAAAATAACATCTTGTCTCCTGTTAAGCTAAAGTCAAGAGATAGGTGGGTTTTGTGTTTGTGGCATCAAGAGACTTACTGAAGAGAAGGATGAGGTAGCATTTGTGAGACTTTCATGGTAACTGTTTTTCACAATTTTCAGTAGTGGAAAGCACTCGTTTTGTTATATAATGTTGTGAACACTGACTAACTGCTTTTCTTGTGCTGGAATGGGGCCTGAGCAGATTGTGTCAGCAAAATAAGCCTTTATTTTGTAATTAGAGCTAAAAAATATCTTGGAAAAATTAAGCATAGCACTTTAATAATGTTTAAAGTGTCTTCTTTTGTGTTTCTATTGGTAGAAAGTAATACAAATAAAATAAGGAAAGCGGTTTCCTTCTAGGTGGACAGATTTATACTTAAAAAATTGAATGGAAGAAAATGCTTTGTAAGAAGCATTACAGCTGACTACTTATGAATGCTTTTTTAAAAAAAGGGTGGTTACACTTAACCCTCTAAAAAAAGTCATAATTGCTGGAGAACAAAATATCCTGAAACTCGCTTCCATTAGCATGAAAACATCTTAAAGAAAAATTGATTTTTTTTTTTTTTTTTTCCCCCTGTATATAAGGCTCAATTGTTTCTGCATAATAAGGCTCAAAATATTTTTGGCTAATTTGAAGGATGTTTTTTCAGATGTATTCTCATCAGAAAAGTTCTGGTTACATATCTTCTAAGTTTTAAAAATATTAAATAGGAGACACAAGAGGTAGCATTTTCTAAGGAATGTAAAGTACTTTTGCAGTTCTTTTTAGCAGTTGTGAAATTATCTTCTGAAATTTCAGTAGATGCAATTTTTAGTTATTCTAGCTATGAAAAAAGAAAAAATAGTCTGTTGTAGTGATCTACTATATATTAGCAATCCCATTAATAGCAATAAATCCTTTAATTTTACTTTTTTTTTAGAAGTTGAATGTAGTATTTTCAGTTTTTGTTAGGTGAATGTTTTCAAATCCTACCGTCATCATCTTTCTTGTGTTCAATTCTTCAAGTCAATTCTATAAAAATTACCCTTCTAGCCTTAATTAATTTCTTGACATTTCTGTTTTGTAAAATTTACATTTTATCTTGCAGTCTGAATGACATGTTGGCTATTCCTCACTCACTAGACAGGTCTGGTCAGAGAGGTGAAAACAGAGAAAATGATATAGTATCTGTTGTTCACAAGATCAAGTTACAAATGGCATTCTTCTTTCCCTTCCCAAAAGGCACTGAGGCGTGAACTAAAGGATAAAGAGCAAACCATTCTCAATGCTGTGGACCAGGCACGAGTTTTCCTTGCTGACCAGCCAATTGAGGGGCCTGAGGAACCAAGAAGGAGCTTGCATTCAAAAACAGGTCAGAAAATACTCTCTTCCAGGAATGGTTAAAAGGAAAGAAAAAGGACTTGCATGTCTCTAGTACATATTTTATATCCCAATTACTTGATTAGACTTCAGAATTTTCCAAACCACATCCTGATTGCTTTTATTTCTCCTCACAGAGGCCCCCGTGCAGCCCCCGCTGCCAGCAGTGGGCACCTGCACCCCGCACAGAGTGGTGTTGCACTTTCTGTAGATTAATAGACTTTCAGCCCAAAAGACATCTTTGAATCATCTGCTCTGATCTCTTATATATCACAAGCTGTTAAATTTCACCCAGGACTGAGTCTAGTAATTTTTTTTCTGACAAGTAATGCCATTGATCTCCAGAAAGCTGCATCTCTGGATTTGAAGACATCCAGACACACACAATTTCTCTTCTGATTAACCATTTTCAGTGAAGGTTGTGGGTGTAGGCTTATGTTTGCTTTTAAAATGTTTATTTTTTTATTTTCTGTCAGCTTCTCGGTCACTGGTATTCTCTGTAGTAGGTTAAAGTTAACTCATTAACTTCAGTGAAATACACTTCATGTTGCTAAAGGAGAAGGAGTGTGGGTTTGGATTGTAAGTTGACAGTCTGTCTTTAAAAAAATATTGATGAGCAGTACACAGCACTGTACAGTCATGATTTGAACATGTTCTTGGCTGCTTCTATAATATAAATAGCAAAAACTTTTTTTTTTTAAATCATAATCACATTAATTGGAAAATCACTGCTTCTTCAGGTTAGTTCTTACCTTGTGTAATGGCAGGGGTGTTTAGCGGGAGGGCTAGCTAACCCAAAAAGGATAGAGGTTGTAAAATTGCTTTCTATTTTCTTCAACCTCTCCCTCTCCATCCACTTCTTTCCCCCCGCCCCTACATCTTTTCACGCCAGGGAGGGCATTGTTGCAAGGACAAGGAATGAGAGAGATTTAGGAGAAAACTGGTAAGAATGAGTTTTGAACTTGACTGACCGAGACTTATTTTAAGGACCTGTGCATACATACATTCATTGTTACATCTAAAGAGAATATTTGTTATACGATGCCTTATGATAACCCGCTATTGTCTCCAATGTTCTTGTTAATTTCAAATATATCACAAGAATGTAAAATCAGGTTATGAGCAAGCCTTGGTTTCTTCTTTCCCATGTTGGCATTATGCTTCCCGTGTTGGCCTTCTACTGTACTATGTAGTAAGTGGCACATTCAAACACAGTTCTTCAGGTTCCAAGAAACTTCCTTCTTGGTTAATTTTATCTCCTATCTGTCTTTTCTTCTGATTTCGTTTTGCCGTGTTTCCATAGGGAGGCCCCATCACAAAAAAGCAAGCTTCGCATTCTTCTTGCATTTTGAGCTGCTTCAGCATCTGGGTGGAGCTGATTGATAAACCAGCAAGCCAGCTGCTGAATTTTGTAGATGGACAGGATAAGGAAATTGGAAATGCTCACATTTTTAGCTTTGTCACTTGTCCATGGTATAGGAGAAAACTTAGATCTAAAAATGTTAATTATAATTCTCTATGGCACAGTTACAGTTGGCTTCTTAGATGTCTGTACTGTTAGTAAGGTTACAGGCCATGGGAAACACAAAGGAAAGCAGAATAATATTTTCTCTCCCCAGGGTTTTATGAACCAATGATTCAGCTTTGCTGAAATTCTGTCCTTAAAATTCCACTGATGCAGTGAGGGAGTGGAGATGATTTTTAAGAAGATAACATAAAATAACATCCTAGCAGATTACCACAGGCCGCTACAGTGATTCTCACTGCAGTAGCGAATGTTTTGAATGTTTCCAGGGGGCTACAGTATTGTCGAAGTACTTCAGTAGCTTCTAGTTTTCTTACGGCAGTCAGATTTTCCTACCTTTGATAGCTGTTATTTGGTAGCAAAGGTTGTTGTGATAAACGCATAATTTAAAATTAAGTATTTACTATCTGTTATCTCCTCTTAATTGAAAGTGTAGAAAACCCCATAAATCATATCTGTGTTATAAGAAAAATATATTTAACAGGTATCAGTGAATTACATGCATATACTTTATTTAAACTTGTAGACACACAACATATTCACCTGTTTCAGACGTAAATAAAAGTCGAACTTCCTTCCTTCCTACCACTGAACACATTCTATTCCCAACCACTTGTGCCTGTCCGCTAGCTATCACACACCACTGGAATAGTTTTTTGTTCTCTGCTGTGCAGCTGGGCTGAGTATGAAGTCTTGAGTGTGAAAATTAGAAGTGCTTAGGAGAATGAAGAGGGTATAGCCCATTGGAGGTCAGTGGAATCATGCCTAGAAACTACTTACACTATTTTCAACATTGCTGTCTTTGTTTTAGTTGGAGCTCATTCACTTGTGACTTTTGAGAGTTTCTTCTTAAGATTAGAGAAATGTGCAGTTATCCATGAAAGAATCTCAAACTAAGTATGTCTCTCCTTTTCAAATAGATCTCTTAGTCACCCTACAAGTTCAGTCCACCTGGGTAGAGCCTTGAATTTTTTCCTGTGGAGTCTACGTGGTTACCTGCTTAAAGTCATATTAGTAAAGTTCAAGGAAGTTGTTTCCGTTTGCTGAGTGGTGTGGAGTGCAAACTTAGAGGAGTTTTAAGCCTGAATTTTTAACAGCTGAGTATTGGAAAGAGGCTGGCCAGAGGCCATAGTGGTTAATTTTATTATTGTTTTTTTTAGCCATGAGGACCTCAGGATATAAGCAGAGTTACATTCATTCTTGACCTGTATGCTATGTTATGGCCTGGTTTTAGCTGAAACACAGGCGCTTCCCAGGTGGAAGCTATGTTCTTAAAGTTTAACTGTTGCCTTGTTTTAAAGACTCCAGAAACCAGTAAAGCTTTATCTGCAAGAGAATTCTGTTACGTTACGCTACTAGAAATGTGGATGACTGATGGATGTCAAAGGTTAGGACCTTGTTTAAAAGAAGATTGTTTTCTTGCACTCTAGAGCAAACATAGCTCAAAAACATTGTAAATGAGCCTCAAAAAAGCAAATTGGAAATTGTAGAATATTAAACAAAAAGTGTATACAGGAGAAAACAGGCTGAGGAAACTTGCCTAGAAGGTTCAAAAAGGTTCGGAACATGGATGTTTTAAAGTCCTGTGTTGCTCTTATAGGACGCCATCAAGTCAGCGAGCCCTATTTTTTGTGCTGCCTGACTTGTCTTTATTTTCTGGTTTTGTATTATTTTGGAATAAAAGATGCCTCTGTTTTGTTTTGAAATACTGTTAGGGGATGTATATCTGTCTCCTGCAGCCTTGCTGAGGAGCTACCTGCCATATGTGCTGTGCCAGAAAAAAATCTTTGGAAGAAATAAAAGGCCTGTTACAATCTGCAGTCGCAGTGCTTTGGAAAGAAACATAGGATTAATTCCTTGCTTACCTAGAGTAACTGGGATACAGTGGTGATAGCCTTCTCTCCATTAGTACTCTCCCTTCAACAGGAATTGGAAGAAGACATAGTAGCTTAGTGATGCTGTAACAGAACTGTTATATTTGGATTTTTCTGGGTTTGTGGCAGGAGCAGACTAAAACTGAATTCATACCTGGTTTATGTTCCTGGAGCAACACAAACTTTGGGCTTCCACTGTGCAAAAGTATTGTGAACTTGCTTTGAATTACACCATTTATTACAAAATGGTGGCTTGTTTTTATTGAAAAGTATTATATGTGTTTTGATTATATTGACAAATTACACTGGTTATGCTGGATAAATGCATGGTTCTCAGGATTGCTGTAATCTTCTTTAGTTTTCCGGAGATAGATGCTATGGGACAACTTAATTATCTCTTTTAACTAGAAGCTTTTTTCTCTTTGTTTTGTCCTTCTGTGTCTTCCCCACCAGCACCTACTGGGAAATACCAACAACCATTATTAAACGATACGTATATTTGCTAGCATTGTTCTCATTTGTCTTTATCTGGAGCCCATACGCTGGGCCCTTTCCAGAAGTACTCATCATACATGAGGTTAACAGCTTTCATTTTCTCTGCTTTTGCAATTCTGTCTTCCGCAGATGAAAGGTAATTTGTCTTTTATCCTGCAGAGACTTTCTTCATTCACTCTTTATTTAATTATATTTCTTTGTTTTAAAAACTTTCAATTTTGGTAGAAGAAAACCTAAGTGGGCTAAGATGAAAATGTGCTTTTTCTTTGTTTTAACTACATATGCAATAGACGTTTGAATAGGAGAAAAAGGTGACATGCTGGATTATGCTTGCGTGGTTGGGTGCTTGGAGTCTGACTAATTGCTATGTTTCCACATTAACCAGTTGCTGCTTATTCTTTAAACTTCCTATTCCCATCCCATCAGAACTAAGTTTTCTGTCCAGATTATTAGAAACCCAGAGAATGCTTTCACTGGAGTGATGCTAAAGACTTCATCATGCAACGATCCACTGCTTTTGGTGGTTCTGCTTAGGAGTTTAACAGTGTGCCATTGTGTCTGTTCAAATGCTCTGAAAGTGTTCATAATGATTACAGTGTGTCACCCATTGTTTTTTGCTGCAAAGATTGATTGAACCAAGGAAGAGACAATGTTTGACATAATAGGAGTGGGAGGGGGCATGAAGTCAGCTCCGGTTCTAGTATATTTTATTAAGAATATGGCAAAAGTGAAAGGAAATTGATGTAATTATGGCAAGACAGAAGGAGATCACTAGTTCAAGTCCACATAATGAGGATTAAGCAAAGTTGCTTAGAATCAAAACTGCTAGAGCCAGGAATAGTTTAAGAGATCTAAAATAAATTCTTAAACAAGAAGAATTTTCTTCACTGATAACTTTCCTGGGTCAGTATTCTCCATATATGTAAGCACGTAAGGAAGCTATATGCTGTAAAGTTTAGGCTTGAAAGTTTTCCTTCTGTGGCACTCTGTCTTTGCTACAGACACAGAAAAGCTGTTGGTGCTTTCATTGCTTTGTTTGTGACAAAAAGTGCTTATTAAAATCAAGTTTTTTCCACTACAGAAGCAGACTTTTTTTCTGCTCTTTCTCCCTGACTGCAAGGTCAGTTGGTATCTTTCCTCTCTGGTAAACAGATGGTCCAGTGAATATAGGCTTTTCTTACTTTCTGAGCAGCTGCTGAAGTGGAGATAATGTAATAAGTACAATATAAAAAAAAAAAGAAGGCGGGGGGGAAGCTGATCATTGAGAAGACTTTATATAATGTGGGGACAAAAAAGCAACAACCCCTGTGCAGCATTTTTTCACAGCAAAAAGGAACTCTGTCTGCCGGTGTGTGTAATGGCAGACTGGTGAAACGAATTCCAAACTCATAGAAGAAAGTTCTCACTGTTAAGACATTTTTTTTATGAGGTTTACAATTCTATACTATGCAACCAGTATCTTGGAGAATGTGTATCTGTTTGAAAAAAGTAATGTGTTGCTCATTAATAAGCTGGGTTTTCATGATGGAAAACATGAAGTTATACAAGATGTATTTCTCTCTTAAATGAACATATACTGAATGGTTTTATAGCTCATAAAAATGTGTGGTTTGCTTTATTTCCCTAGTAAATGTCTTTGTAGGGCAAGTTTACAAGCACTTCCAAGGCTTTTGTAAAATAAAGCAGTCTTGCAATGAATTAATATTTTTCAAATAAAATATGCAGCAGATACCCTTGCACAATGACACTGATTTGATAAACAGTCTTAAAAGATGTTTCAGTTTTCAGTTCTGTTGGGATACTTGTATCACCCCAGTCAATCTGGAATTTTTTTCCCTCCCAAAATATGTGACTAGTCTGTCATGAGTAAAGCTGCCTTGTTTCAGCTGGCCAGACAACTAAAGTCAGGCTGTTGTTCCCCTCTTCTATTCCCATTTATTGCTCCAGCCACTTTTTTTCTTACTGCTTCTATTGGAGCGAGAAGCGCTCATTGAATCTGTTGTGTCAGTACCTTTATGGACCAAAAAGTTTTGCAAGATTTTCAGCTCTTACTAAAGCTTTCAGCATGTTCATTTTAAATTACCCGCTAATAATCTAGTTTAGAACTGTTAAGCCCTTCCAACTTTCTACTCTTTTATGCAGAATTGGTGGGTTTTGGCTCTGATAACAGGTAAAGGATGATGCAAGCACATGATGTTGGATAAAAATGACATATTGCAGCTTTGCATATATGTAACTTCTACTTAGTCCCGTTTCTGGGTATAATGTCCCCTATATTCACATGTTCAGGATGCCAACAAAGGAGGCTTCCTCCACTGGGTCTGCAATTTCCTGTCCCCTTTCAACAAAGCTCAGTATTCCCTTTCCTTGTGTAGAGTGTTCCAGCTCTGGATGCTCCCTTAATCCTCATTTAAAGTCCTGCAGCTTTTACTCCTGAGGCCTGGTTGTCCTCAACCTATAGTTGTCACATAGGGTATCATAGGATACCTCAACCTATGAGGTATCCTATGATACTGAACTCTGCCACTAGGTGCAACTTTCCGGCATGCTGCAATTTAGCTTGGCTTCTAGATTGTTCACGGTTCCTTTGTCACTGGACTGTAGTGGATTCTCATTCATTCATCAATGGTATATTGTTATTCTTAATGGTGAATAATTCCAAAATTACTTCCAGTAACAACTTCTTTGATATCTTTACGTAAGCAATTTGTACCTGTTGTTTTTTGTTTAAAACAACAGTTTTTATGTGAAAGGATTTTTTGCTTAGAACTTAAGCTTTATTTCTTTTCCTTTTTCTAAAATCTGTTGCAAAGCTTTGGGTAAAGACCATCCCAGAACTGTGTTGTCCTATGATGTAGTTTATTCTACTGTGTATTGCTGGAATTCCAGAGACAAGGTACAATTTATCACAGCCTGTCTTTGGTCTTCATCTTTACTCTGGTCTGTCAGTATTGCAGATTGTGGGTTACTGCCATGTCTTTATACCCCAGAGCTACATACATAATTTATATCCCTTCACATTTAGTTAAGCATTACAGGTTTTTGTCACAACTGTTCCTCCCCAAATTCCTCTTCTCAAATACCCTCTTGCCACTGCGGTATCCCTAAGCCTGGCTAGCCTCTGCCTTTTGCACGCAGAGTGCACGTGAAGAATGCTTTTGTGTGATACGTATGACACCCAGCAAATCACTGAAATGTATTGGTAAGCTCAAAATTTCTTTTGTCCCTCTCAGCTCCATTCTTTCTTCAAATGGCTCTCTGTTTTTTAAAAGAGCTTTTCTAATTCTAGAAGTCAAAACATGCTCTGCAACCTACAGCCTAGGTATTTGTCTCCCTTCTTTTGGTGATGTTGGCTCTTTTTGATTCTCCTTGCCTCCCGTTCTCCTTTGGTTACCGTTGGTAGTACTTTTTTCTCCTGTGTAACCATTTCTTAGCAAGTTGCCTTGTGCTTTCGGGCAACACTTGGTCATTTGGCAACATCCTCTCCCCCATACATGCTGTTCTGGTATTTGTAGTCTAGCGTGTATCAAGACTAATATGTGCTAACAAGATTTGAAAAAACTTCAAAAAAAGAAAAAAAAATATGTGGAATTGGTGGGCAGAAACTCTGTTTTTGATCCAAACAACTCTCTGTTACTTTTACATCTGGGAAAAATGTGCCTGCCTTTCTCAGCAACAAATTGAATATATTCTAATGATTTATTTTGTATTAATTACTTGCAGTGTGCTTTCCTGTATTGAGTGCTATGGAACAATGGTTGCATCACTAGAGGCATAGTAAGAGAACTTTTGCAACCGTAACAGTGCATTTACTTTGACATTCATCTAGCCTTCAAAAAGCACAAAGCTTCCTCCCCCCCCATTTTTTTGTGTGTTCCTCTCTCGCCCTCCTCCCCCAAGTTAGCAACTCCAAGCGTTGCAAGTTATAATGATTTTAAAGACGGTATATCACTAAATGGAAGATTGTATGTCTCATTTGACTTTTGACAAAAATGGTGCTTTCATCTTTGCATGGTTGTGTGTAATTTATTCATAGACAACACTTGAATTTTAATCACAAGAATACTGTGATAAACCTTTTCCAAGGGTTTTACATGGGAGTGAATAGGAGGCCAGTTGGCTTAATTTCAATGTATGCCACGTCTCTCCCCATTCTTTTGTTCTCTGGTTTCTGCATTGTATCAAGTTTCCTCTGCTTGCTTCTCTGCCTGCAGAAACCTCAAGGTTGTTATGTAGAAGGCGAATCCTCTGAGACTGGCTTTGTTTGTTTGTCATTACTGAAGCAACTCTTCCCTAGCGAAGGAAGGTACCCATGACTTTTTTCAAGCAAGGCCCTCTGAGCAGCAGGACCTGCTGGGGACGTCTTAGGGTTTTCTTTTTAGCTTTCTGACTGTGTCTTGCTCAGTCTCAAATTGAAGACCCAGGAAAGGCAGCATGTTCTTTTATTGATGGACCACCTGACTGGTTTGCAGAAATCATCTGTTGTGGAACAGAGATAAGTCACCAGCTGACTCAGTTCTTGTTGTCAAAGAGGGCTGAGGCATGTCTATGGTTTGGAGTTCTGTCTAATGTCTTGCAGACTTACCAGGGACTGCGGACTTAAATATAAGCAATTTACTGAAATAATCAGTGTCATCTCCTGTGACTACGTCCTGAGGTTGTGTGTGTGCCCACTTTGGCTTTGCTTATTCAGTTGCAGCTGGTCTTTGCTAACATGAATGGGATTTCCATGGTTGCTGGGTTGCATGGAATTTAGACACGTAAGCCTGAAATTTATGAGAAATAGTTCACAATAAGCTTGGCTCTTCTTCAGTCAACAGGTTCATTGAACATTTTTAGATTTACAAAACCTATTTAAAACAGCTTTGGTGTTAACACAGAAAAATGGATGTAGAGCTGCAGAACAGCTCACCACATGCTACTCAGTACACCTTGGTTTTTACTAGCGAACGGAAAAGAGGAGGCATCCTGGGGGTAGGGTGAAAGGTGGTGGTAAGTGATCCAGGAACAAAGCACTGTTCTTGTTCTTGTTACATGAAGTGGTCCCTAGATTCCCTATTGCAGTTTCCAGTAGGGAAGAATGATCTTTTATTTCCTCCCCCTGAGCCTCCAAAAATAACAAATCAGCAGTAAGCTGCCTTTGCTTTGCAGATATCATAATACATGGAAGTCAGGAATAGTTTCCTGTCTTCTGATCAAGCTTTATTTTGTCGTCAGGAGTGATTAAGTTTTATTTCATTTATGGCAAGGTGGACTTTCTTCTGTCTTGTACCCACTGAAATAAATTATCAGTTGACTCTGGACTTACTGACTGTCTTGAGCGCGTACCTCAAGAGTGCTGTCTGTTTAACTGGACATGAATAAGAGAAAAAATAAACAGTGTAACTTTTCTTTCCCTCTGCAGAGTTGACCCCTGAGGAGAAAGCCATGAGGATTGCCAAAGCTATGCGTAAGCAGTCATCAGAGGTAAAAGAGAAATGGGAGAATCTAAATGCCAGTGCCAGCATCTGGCAGAAGCAAGTGGACAAAGCATTAGAAAAACTGAAAGACTTGCAGTGTGCCATGGATGACCTCGATGCTGACTTGAAGGAGGCTGAAAACGTGAGGAATGGCTGGAAACCTGTGGGAGACTTGCTCATAGATTCATTACCAGACCACATTGAGAAAACTACAGTAAGTGTGGAACTCCTGGGAAATACTTAGCCTGTGTGAGAGTCAGACCCCTCCATTCTTCTACCCCTAGTCACGTTAGATATGTATACTGAAATTCTCATGTACAGATTAAAGTGCTCTTTAAAGACTAGATCTGAGGTCTCAAAGAAAGTCCAGTGCTGTACCACATCCACTGTGTCAGCTGTGATTGCATAAGCACGTGTGATCAGCACGCTACAGATGCGTATGGAATATAACATTCATTAAATGAAAAAAAATTGTGTTCTAGGATTTAAATATTTTCCTCCTAGAAATACTGTCTAATCCATAGTTAGGCCACGGGTGTGTTTGGAGCTTTGCCTAGGCACTGGAGTATGAGTGAGCTGAGTCAGTTATCATCCCGGCAGTTGACAGTAGGCTCCCGTCTTTTTTGTAGTGGTGAGCTGTCAGATCTGTTTGGCCATCACGTATAGCTTTCTTCTTAGAAAAACATTTAGAGCTCTTTCAGTCATACGGAAGTATATACATAGTTTTAATTTCTGTTCCTTAACTTTCACAAACTTCACAGGTCTATTGTCTATTTTAGCTTGTATGAGTGAAAATTTGTATTTGCTTTTATTTTAGCCTGGCTTCTCTTCAGGATTATTTCAAAGTGAAGAACACATACTACTGTATAACGTTCTCATGGACATACCAGTTCTTACAGCTAGGGTTCCAGACCACCCATGCAGGGCTCAGCACCCCAAGGCTTGGCTGCTCATGATGGATAGTAGTTGTCTCCTGCTTAGCTGCATGGGTTGGGTAGGGACCCAGTAATGCAGAGGTCCCCAAAGAAGGAATACCTTCTGATAACTAACATTTTCCAGGAAAGCTGACTGGAAACAGCACAGGCTTGGGGGAGTGCCTGAATATCAGGGATTCCAGGAGAACATGTGGGTATACCCATGTAGGTGGAGGAAATTGCTGTTTCTGGCAAATATAGCAGTTATCACCAAGCCTCTCTTTCACAAACACAACTTTCCAGTTTTTAAACTGAAGAATGAATATGGCAGAACATTAGAGGACCCTGGGGTGATGTACCTGACCATCCATGTCTTCAGCATGGGACACTGGTGTTAGAAGAATGAAGGGCCATGGGCTGCAACCAGTTTTCTGCAAATACTCTCTATGTATACACGGCCTGTGGACTCATGATATTAACACAGGACTGCATTATTTCACATACATCAATGTAAACATCCTCATTCTCCAAATTTTGTTGTTACTTTCAGGCTTAATGGAACCAAAATCTTTAAAACAAAGGCAGTCAAAGCTGATTTATATCCAGACTGCTGTTGATTTGAGAAGAGTAATGCATCTCCTTCTCTCCTCTTACATTTTAATATAGGTACTAAAGCAAGCACTAAGATGCTGATGCTGAATAGGTCTTTGTTCTCATGTTAAGAAGTGATTTGTCATATCTTGATGGCTTTTTCTGTAAAGAAGCATAAAGCAAAGTCTTTTAGATTTTCATGGCTATGGAAAAACTGAAACATCTGCTGAAGCAATAGGGGCCTGCTGCCTGTCCAGAAGCCAAACGCTTCTTTCTTGCCAGTAGGTGCCTTCTGTTCCTGGGCCTGATGAGAGGGATTTTGAAGGGACGTAAATAATTGAATTGTCCAAAGAAAATCTTTTTTCCAGTTGTTTTTGGCTTGTTTCATGATGTTTAATCAAGCTGTTTATAGGATTGAATAATTAACTACTCACAGCAAGAAAGACATTTGATGCATCTTTTCAACTGTAACTAAAACTTGCATCAATTTTGTCTTAATACTGTATTTAGTTCCGTTTGATTTCTGTTTTTAATCATTGCAATAGTTTTACTCTACAGTTCTAATCAGGTAAAACATTGTACTCCTTTTCCTTAGAAGATACATTCCATCATGCTTTGCTAATTCAGGAATAGTTTTTAAATTGAATTTTTGTCAGCTGCTTAATACTGGAAAACTGTAGTTACTGAACACATTTTTTTCTTAAGAGTACTTGACAGGCTGTATACTGTTAAAGCTCCTGATAGAGCATTGCATATTTCTTTTTGGAAAGAAAAGCTCAAAAGTCATATGGCACCACTAAAAACCTTCTTTAAATTGTTTTAGGGGCGCAATTTGTATATGGGCATTTGGGTAAATTGCCTACTGTTTTTCTCTAAAGACGGATATGAAGGAGTTAATAAGAATATTGAAGTGAGTGAACTTCCTTTGCTGGAGAACTTAGAGTTGCGTACAGTTGTTTAGGATAAGCTGCCATGCTGGGCAAGTCAGCACCATGTTGAGTTTACGGTGGCATTTGTGCTGCCTAGATGTCCGTTAAGCATAAATGTATGCTTCTTACTCTTCTAGGCTTTTAGAGAAGAAATTGCTCCCATCAACTTGAAAGTTAAAACAGTGAATGATTTGTCCAGTCAGCTGTCTCCACTTGACCTTTATCCATCATTAAAGATGTCTCGTCAACTGGATGATCTTAATATGCGTTGGAAACTTTTACAGGTATTCTTCTGAATGTGTACAGCGGTGGGGGAGAGGGATGCTTCTCACTCTATTCTGTTCTCTTAAAAGATGTATTATTACCATTTGTTCATTATTTCTATCTTTAAGGTGTTACTTTAGTGGTACCAAAGCAACAAATGGAGCTGTCTTTCCTTCTGTGGCTTGACCAAAAGCTTCTCCTTTAAAGCTGTCTCAGCAGTTTACTCACTCAGGAGACTGCATTAATCTCTGGAGACTAGTGGGAACTATTGCTGCATGCTTTTTTGTATGTCTTACAGCAGTATTTTTAGTGCATAAGTCATTTTTACTGAAAACTGGTGTACATATTTCTGTTGTGTTTCCAGCTCCTGTGAAAGCTGTTTTATTTTGGTTTTGAATGTTCAGTTTCTGCAGGGAATTTCACTTCAAGTGACTTAAGTATTAGTGAAGCTATAACAAGATGTGAGCAATAGCACATTCAGCATTATACAACAGAATAGGGTATGCTGTGAGAGAGAGTCATATTGCTTAGTTATGATTATTGTATTTAAATGGTCTGAGAAAGGTAAATCAATATGCCTGATTACAGTTCAAAGTCATGCACAGTTTCACAGTGAATGGTTTAATGAAGTTTCTTACATCAGTTAAAGTTCATTTATCAATTTTTGCACTTTCTCACTCTTTTTTATGGTAGGAAATACTTATTGTGAGTCAGCTGCTATTTATTTCTTTACCTGGTTTCTAAGGGTGATATGAAATGTCTGAAAGAATTGGGGGAAGGATGGAGGATCTGTAGCCTCTCTAGCTGAGGGTAGTGGGACTGAATTTTCAAAATCTGGGCATCAGCTTCTGGGCTAGTAGTTTTGAATCAGTTGCTCCTGAGAGGCAAAATTGTTAATGTGTCATATCAGTCCTTCCCTTTCCTAATGTAATTTGGTAGTGGGTTTTTGTGGGTTTTTTGGGGGTGTTTTTTATTTTTTTGTGTCCTCTCAAATTGAGCCAAACTGCTGCTGGGTGTGATAGTGGTTTCAATTAATAAACGAGGGGGTCATGTCAGTCAGTGAAGTGGTATCTTCCAAAATGGTTCCGTGCTGCAAAGGCAGCTGTGAGATCAATACAGTCAAACTGAGACCTGCTGACTATGGAAATTTGGACAACGGAAGGGTTGGGAGGAGGTCAGAAACTTTAGCAGTCGGCTATAGTAGCCATGAAACTACTACTGTTCGTTACTGATCTGCTGTACTCATACGAGAATACTGCAAGTATGAATGTGACTTTCATCAAGCAAATGAAGGAAAAAAAGTAGTCTTGAATAGGTGGATGTCAAATAAGTGCTATGACAAACAGACAAATTTATTTAACTAAAAATGAATGTAAACAAGTGTTTTTATTGTCATGGCCCTAGTGTTACAAAGTAAATGCAACGTAAATTTTGTGTATGTGTGTTTATGTGTAGGTGTCTGTAGAGGATCGCCTTAAACAGTTACAGGAGGCACACCGAGATTTTGGGCCTGCATCACAGCACTTTCTTTCCAGTAAGTTCTTCAAATTAGTAGATGCATGTGAGATATGACGGCTTTCTCAAACACTGACTGCTCTTTACTCCAGGTTTCCCTGTGGTTTGAGGAACAGGAAGTTCCTCTTCCATGTTGTTATCTACCTCCCTGTTTTTGTAGGGGTGTGTCATCTTCATAACTCCACTGACATTCTCACTGGCATGCTTCCCTCAGGGATCACTGGAATACCTTGCTGAGTGATTGGTTGTGCCCGTGATTGCTTTATTCTTTGTCCTCTGTTTGCTGCAAGGTCTGACCTGTGGCTGTTCCAGAATATTTATGTGTTTTAACCACATCTTCTCATCCCCTGCTACCTCTTCCCTCAGTTTCCTTTTGCTCCCACACTTGCTGGGATGACACAAAGGAAGAGCTGCCTGGATTTTTTTTTATTAAAGGCTTCATGTCATACATTCCTGGAAATTCAAATAAAGGGGTGGGGAAAGCAAACCTGCATCACTTCCTCTTCAGACCCATCCTTGCATCTTTTTCTATTTAGTGAAAATTTGAGAGAGGTAAGCCTACAATCTCCCATATACTAAGAGGGCAAAAGCAGATGCTTTTGCTCTCTCATTCTCATTTGACTTATTCACTACAGATAGATAGGTTGTGATATCAAGATCCATGTTCATTTTCTGACATTCTAGCCTATCTGCCATCATCAGAGCTCATGATACAAAGTGTTAAACCAATCAGCTCTCCAGTTTTTAACTGAGGGTTTCAATAATAAAGATAAAATTATTGCAGGAGTTGAGAAGTGAACATAAAAATGAGTGGCTCCGTCCCAGAGATTCTCAAGTGCTGTATGTCACTGTATAGCTAAACAGCTAATACAATTTAAAACAATAAATAAATCTTGATTTCTTCTTAAGCTATGTGACAACCATGTTCTTATTTTAAATTGGCAACTAGTTTTTCAGTAAACATCAGCCCCACGCATTACGACTGCCTC